CGATAACTTTTTGTCTCAACAGCTATTTTGTTACAATAATTTTATAAACTTTTACTTAGGGTTGATTTCATCGTTTTATTAATCGAAGTTTAAAATTCTAAACGAAGATTAAAATGACATTTTTAGTTTAGTAATTTAAACTTCGTTTGACACAACGATGGAATCGGCACTTAGCTAGTTATATATTGATGAAGTGTTATGTTATTGCCCTCATCATAAATGAATCGTGCTAAGAAATAAAGTCAAAAAAACGTCTCATAATTTTTCATCTTTTAGTTACCTACCAAAATTAGGTAACTACAATACAAATATTTAAGTCCGGCCCAGAACATCTCCCTACTCCTTCCACCCAGTTTTTCGGTTTTGACAAAATTCGCGCAGTGACAAATGCTTCCTATGTTACCTCTACCCTTTCTAACCTCTTTGTAATTGTCTAAGAGCTTGCAAAACTTTTTCAAAATTTTAATATTTTATCGTTAATTCTGTTCTAATCAGTCTTTTTTATTTATTATTTCGCATAAAAATCACGAATTATAAAATATATAAATAAATAAAATATAAAATAAAGAAACGGAAGAAAAGGTCTGATATAAGTTTTTACAAGTAAGTAAGTCCCGTTCGGGTCTATTTGACCCGAACACAACAATTAAATTTCAATAAACAGAAAATAACTTTATTAAAACCCGTGGTGCTTAGTGACTTTGTAGCATATTATTAGACCCTCATTTACTACAACAATTTTTTTTTCAATGATCAGTTTTTAAAAAAAATATTAATTGTTACACATATATTGTTCGGGTCAATATGACCCTAGTAAGCTATGTCGTGATAATAATTTTCATTTATTTTTTTATGGCTCCTAATTATGTCTGGTAAACAAATAAAAATACGCACGGCTATGGAACTCACTGACACCAGACGACGTTAGCCGAATGACTTTGGTAGGCAGACATGTAAGCTGTGCTCTGTGCTTGTGCTCCAGTCGATGTTTGCATATTGGAAATGGCGTATCGAAAACCAATTAGTGAAAACGATTTGAAAGCTCTCGCAGAAATGTCAGAGAGTGATGAAAACGTGTCAGAATTTGAAGATCATACATGTAGTGAAAGTGAAATTGACAGTTCTGACGTCGATTTGGATATAGTGGAGCGACCTGTTGCATGTAATCAGACAATTTTTTCAAAAGACCATAATATACAGTGGTCATTAGAACCTCCTCAACAACGTGGTCGCTTATCAGCAGCAAATGTTATAAAACGTATTCCAGGAGTTACACGATATGCATGTGCACGAGTTGATGATCTAAAAAGTTCATTTGAAACCATATTTCTTGATGTAGTCGAGAGCGAAATTATAAACATGACCAACTTGGAAGGGCAGCGTGTTTTTGGAGATTCATGGAAAAACCTAGATCACACAACTTTTCAGGCATACATCGGTCTCTTGATATTAGCTGGAGTTTATATATCCTATGGTGAATCAACAAAAAGCCTTTGGAATAAAGAAACTGGTCGGAACATATTTCGTGCAACAATGTCTCTCGATGTATTCACGAAATTATCTCGTGTTATTCGTTTTGATAATAAGACAACAAGGCAAGAGAGAAGGAGTACTGATAAACTTGCAGCTATTCGGATTATCTGGGAAAAGTGGGTAGAGATTCTACCAAAATTATTCAATCCTTCCTACAATGTTACAGTCGATGAACAGTTAGTGGCGTTCAGGGGGCGTTGCCCGTTCAAACAGTATATTCCCAGTAAGCCAGCGAAGTATGGGATAAAAATTTGGGCTTTATGTGACAGTAAAACTTTTTATGCCCTCAAATTACAAGTGTATACAGGAAAGGAATCAGGTGCTAAATCGGAAAAAAATCAAGGAATGCGAGTAGTATGTGATCTCAGTAGTGATTTGAAAGGACACAACCTAACTTGCGATAATTTTTTTACGTCGTATAATTTGGGACAATTTCTTCTAAAAAAAAATATAACTATGCTTGGTACCGTCAGGAAAAATAAACCAGAATTTCCGGAACAAATGCCAAATAAGGAAGTTAATAGCAGTTCTTTTTATTTTACAAAAGACACTACAGTTGTGAACTATGTTCCGAAAAAAAATTAAAATGTCGTTTTTATGAGCACGCTACATAATGGCAAAGCGATTAGTGATCGAGAAGATAAAAAACCAAAAATTATTATGGACTATAATGCAACAAAGGGGGCAGTGGACACCCTTGATCAACTTATTGGTACATACACATGTAAAAGAAAGACAAACCGATGGCCCATGAGAGACGACTTTTTCTGGAAGAATTGGGAAAATCTCTGGTCACGCCACTTATAACTTCTCGGCAGCATTTACCAAGAACAGAAGAATCACGCGACATTGTAAAAAAATACAAGTAAGAAGTTTGGCTAGTCTACATAGGGCTTCGACCTCAGCTTCTAATCCACCGGCTTTGGATATCGCAGCTACAACTTCAAAACGTGCAAGATGTAAATTCTGTTCCTCTAAAAATGATAACAAGACAAATATTTTATGTTGCAAATGTCAAAAACATATTTGTAAAACACATGTTACGTATTATTGTCCTAACTGCAAACAGAACTAATTTACTAAATTGATATTATAGTTTAAAAAAGTAAAATCTGTATTAGTTAACTATGTAATTAAAGTTTTTTATAGGATTGAATGGTATTTTATTTCAAAAATAGGCTACAAAAAAAATATGGGTCATATTGACCCAAACAGTACAGCCGTATAGAAAATTGGAACGGGACAGCAGGGTTAAGGACTGTACTTAGTATTGTTTCATAATCCCTAATTTCTTGCTTAACGTTAAAATTTTATTACGATTTCTAAAAGACACGATATCTAAAAATGTTGTGCTCATTTGTGGAAAAATACCAATTGAGGCCTAGACCAACTATTATGTTGTGTTTAATTCATTCATCAAAGCGTCCGGTTGTATCGTCAGCAGTTGCTGCTAAAAAAATTAATTCGTATTTTTTAATCACACCTCGTATGTTATTATTTAATTAATATTTAAACATTTGTCCATTTAGTGTAATTTTATTACTTATTCTATATTTACTTACTTATTTTTGCTTATTTACCTACTTACTTATTTTTACTTATTTTTACTTATTTACTTACTTATTCTATATTTACATATATTAATTTCGACTAATTCGACAATCGCAATCTTGTTGTCAAGCTTCGAGCATATATTACTAGGGCCATCGTCCAAATGGACTTTGTTTTGGTACAGGGGGGAAATATAGTGTCCAGCATCCCCATTGGTCTGTTTCGTTTTGCCAATCAAATCGTTCGAAATTGTCAGAACTGTCATTTGATTTTTGACTTTCATTAATTTCTAGCTTATTTTTGTAGTTTATAAGTGATTTTTTGTATTTTATTACTTTAGTGATACAAATTTTAACAATGGTGAGAGTTTTTGTAAGTTTTAAATAGAAATACGAAAAGGCATCGTCAAGGTCATTTTACAAGTAAGTAACCATTAGCGTCTCTACCATTTTTTTAAAAGAAACATAAGTACCTACATTTTATGCAAAAGGCCGTTAAACATAAATTTAAAATAAATGGTAAATTTAGTGAATTAAATTTAAAGAACTTGTATTATGTATGAGGAATATTGTTTTAGATTTTGGACTCATTTTATCATAATGTTGAAGAAGTTAAATCAATAATTTTTCCAACTAATCCTGCCGAAAAACGAATTTGATGAAACGTATTGAAATTTACTCCAGACAACATTTCAAATAGTGATGTTTTATGTTTCAATCATTTTTCTGGGCATATGTTTATGTCAAAGACTAAATGCGGAGCAAAAACTAGATTAATTTCAGGTGCATTGCCATCAAGACTTACTGAGGTCCCAGAAGAAGATAAAACTAAAAGCTAAAGAACCCTGCACTTGCAGATTAATCGTTAATCGTTTAATTTTTCAGTCATGATCTAAACCATGAAGCCTCTGTTGCAGAAAAAGAAAATTCAGAATTAGGAAGCAAATAAGTAAATAAGTACTTTTTAATACAACATAAATTTTATTTTCAAAATACTTATCTATTACTAACTATATTTTTTATAAATCACAAAAATTGACAATCAATATTTTTTATTAAATATACCTATGTTCTTTAATTAAGTAGACTGCTAGTCGTTAAGAAATAAGCAAAGCCTATGTGATTTTTTCATTAAAAAAGTAATTTTAAGCTTCTTTTATTTCTACTCCTAGTCATTAAGAAATAATCGAAGCTTAAGACAGTTTACCGATAAAAATTAAGCTTCACTTATTTGTTAACGACTGGCAGTGCAAATGTACTTAAGTATTAGCATGATTTCTATTTGTAGTAGTATATCGTTTAGTAATCTATTGAACATTGTTTACGAGCAATATTTTTATGTTTAATAAATTATTGGAAAAAATTATTTTATTCTAATTCTCGTACACGTGTGTTAATAGATTTCATAAATATTTTTATATTATACCTAATATATATTTATATTTTTGATTTTTAAATATAAGCCCTTTATCTTTTTTATTGCCTATTATTTCAACCTTCATTTTTTCGTATTGCACTTTCTGATGTTTGAATTAAAAAAATCTGATATGTCCAACACAAATAATAATAGTAATAATAATAATAATTTACTATTACTAGATACCTACTTAAATAATGGAAGTTTATAAAATATGTGCATAATTTAAAGAATTTTAAAGGTATATATCAAATTTATTATTTAAAGTAATTGCAAACCCCGTAAAAATGATGCGACACTGAAAATAGTGTCTACCTATTTCCCCTCATAACCCAAACAAACTCTGTTGAATGCGGACTCTATGAAATATATATATGCTCGAAGGGAAAATTATAGAACAAAGAGTATTGAATTGTATTTTAATAAAAAATAGATATTTACATAATATTACAATCGCTTATATATTCTTAACATTTCCTGTATCTCAATAAAACTTTTACCTTTCGTTTCTGGTATAAAGAAATAAATTAAAACTGCTCCAAGAAAGCAACATAAAGCAAACAGCCATACAGAGCAATGGATTCCAAATGCTTCAGATATCAGCGGAAAACCAGCAGTTAAACCGAATACAACACTATTAACCACTGTGTTTATAACAGCACTGGAAGCAGCTCTAAGATCAGACGGGAACAGTTCGCTGATAAGTGCCATTGGAACTGGACCGATACCCATTGAATATATGATGACGTTACATAGCACTGCTAGTAAAGGAAGCCACTTTAAAGAGTCTAGTAAAGCTGAATTAGTATACTGTAAATAAAAATAAAAACCTAATACAAAAAGTGGTACACCATTACATGTGGCTGAAATTAGTAGCATGCGCCTTTTACCGAATTTTTCTACTACAAAAGAGGTATAAGTAAAACACAATACCTTGACCATCGAAACAATAATTGCAGCGATGTTCCCTGAGATACCGGTACCAGCTGCATTAAAAATCGGTGCCAAATAGGCCATTATAACCGACATACCACAAAAATGCTGAACTAATAACGGAAGTAAAGCCAACATTAAAGCAAATCTATTCTCTCTTTTTTTAAACAAATCTAATACGTTATCTTTTTTAGCATCAGCTCTGTCATTTAAAGTTTTTTTTATATGAAGAAAGTCATTTTCTAATTCTTCTTCATTTTTATTATTTCTGAATTTCCTCAAGGCTTCTTTACACTCTTCCTCTTTGCCTTTCGACATTAAATAGATGGGACTTTCGGGAACTATGATGAAGATCATAAGGAAAAGCAATGCTGGTGCAGTTATTATCAAAGTGAAATTCTTTAGAGAAAAAAGAGGACCTACAACGTAAGCGTAGAAATGGCCAATTTCGTGAAAGAGTCCTAAGAAGCAACCAAATTTAGCTCTATTGTGATTTTCACAAATTTCAGCTACATATACTGGTACAATAGTCCAAGCACCGGATAAAACAAAACTGAGTAAAGATTTTGATAGGATTATATAAATAACTTCCGAACTAAAAGCTAATGCTATACCAGCTATAAGCGTCCCCAATCCAATAAGCTGCAAATACTTTTTTCTTCCTAAAACGTCAGATAGTTTAGGTAACATCATAGTACCAGCTAAGCTAATTAAAGATGGAATTCCTGCTATCATGGAAACTTCCCCTGCTTTTATAGGTCTTCGAATTGGGTTTATCTGCGTGTCATTTGAATAAAGTTTAATTAAAGCAGGCGATGTCCATACAACGTTAGCTCCTGCTACGACTATAAGCATTTGAGCTAAAAAGAAAAAAATACTTTAGAAACATATTTTGCAGAGATCAGGTAGATAAATGAATCACGTGATTAACAACGATCAGCTCAGACGCAATTAACATTTAATTTTTTGTGTAGCGCTTTCATCTTCCGAGCAATTAGTACTAAAGAGAGCGTGAAACGAGTTTGTAGGCAATTGTTGTATTTGCAACATCTGTTGAGAAAGTGAGGAAGTGGACTCAAGGGGGAAGGTGAACAACCCGTCTTGTTCAGTGGCGTATCATTTGCCTGTAAGAACACACATTGTCCAAACTTTTTATTTGTAAAAAAACTAAAAAAAATTGCTAATTTTACTATTTTCAAAATGTATGGTGTCTTATATAGGCCGTTCCATCTCAGGCGAGCCACCCCGTATATTTCTTATCCCATAGTTATTGTAAAAATTTCCCGAAACACGTCGGATGATTTTCATTTTGGTACATCTTTTGACATATATTTAAGGCTTGAACGAGCAACCCCATATAAGGGGGCGCTTCAACCCCTCAAAATTGAATAGGAAAGCAGGAGTGATACTTCATTTGTAATCATTGGCCAATCTAACGTTTTTAGAATTTTACATAAACACAAGTTCCATCCGTACAAAATTAACCCTCCATTAGGTGCGTGGATTCAACTTAAGCGGTTAGGCGCGTGGAGTACAATGGTAATCCAATTTATTTGACTTGCTATGTTTTATTTGAAAAAATATGTATATATTTTTTTGTATAAGTATATTTATGTTAGTTTATTAGCACAAAATATATTTACACATACATTTTACCTTAATTTAATGATAGGAAATTTAAAAGAGACATACACGTGTTTTTAGGCGTTTAATTGCAGGTTCATTAAAAATTGTTACAAACAAAAATTTTAATGAAAAAAACAAAACTATATATATTTTTTTTAAAGAACAAACTTATACTCACATAAACTGAACAGTTAAAAATATTTAAAAAACTAAACGAAAAAATAAGTCAAATGTGGACTATTTTTTAGTCTAAAGAACATGCGGTGCACACATCTCTCTCGTGGTCTTTGCATGCACGCTTGAAACATTTTTGGCAAATTTTTCTTGTCGATTTATTACGATTTCTGTAGCAAATGTAGCAACGGCGAATGTAATTTGATAAAATATCGGGTGGGGGAGGGGGTAAGATATCTTTGAGTCCAAGTAGGTGTCTAACTCGAAGTTCTTTTGGTAGTCTGGAAATATTTGATCGGTGTTTAATTTGGGGTTTTATTAGGTCTCAAGCAAACTTTTCAATAAAACCAGATCTTAAAACTTTTGTTTGGGGTAGTTAGCTTTATAAACGCATAGCATTAATTCCACTTATATTTAGTAAGTTGTAAAATATTACCATGAGCCATCGATTTGTTGTTCTCGCTACATTGTATTTTTCGAACATCTGATCTACTAAGTCTTTGCCTATTTTCGTCTTGTTGTAGCAGGTTATTATTTTGGGCAATTTCTTGTCGTCTGTATCTAGGTCAATCGAATTATCATGGTACATTGAAGAAATGAGTATAACGCTTTTTTTTTGGACAATATGAAACCATGGTGTACTTTTCCTGAAAGCCAAGTAATGAAGTATTTTCTTCTCTGTCCTTTTTTGGCAACAACTCGTTTATTTTTTCGCATAGTGCCAACATATGTAAGATTCTTTTCCTCCAATAATTTTCTTACAAGCGGTACACTAGTGAACCAATTGTCAGCAGTTATATTACGGTTTGTCCCTTCTACAGGGTGCATCAATCGGAGAACAATTTCAACTAGAGAATTACTGAGTTTGTATGGTCCATCAAATTGAGTTCCCATGTTCGTACAGCCAAAATTTCAAACCGCACACTAGGCAAAAAATGTAACGTGATTAGGCGCGTGGAGTACAACGGTAATCCAGTCGTCTTTGACAGCCGCTGATTTAGACAAGCGCATTCCTTGCCTCTTTATTTTATACTAAGGAGGTAGTTGGGTATATTATCGACAGCTACTCAAGCGGGCGATCCCACCCACAAGCCTCGTTTTATTTGGTCACTGTTCAAATCAAATCTAATTAAAATGTATATTGTAACTGTGTACAAATAAATGAATGTTTTTATACCTGACTGTAGCACCAGAAATACATTTTTTTAGATTGTAATGATCTGGATAACTCAAAATAGTGAAACTCCACATTATTTAAGTTTTTCTGATATTGTTTTATCATAGCGATATAAACTGCAATAATAAACATTTAGTTTTTTGGGACTTTTTTTAATAAATAAGAAAAAAAAAATATGAATAATGTGATATTCTTGTTTAATTTGTTACTACATAATATAGTTCATTAGTGGATTAGCAAATTACGTTCTATTCATAGAATAAAAAATCACACATAATATCCAAATATTTATACTTATATCTTTATATTTCGGACACGAAGACTAACTATTTTATGTTTTTGGTTCTGAATAGTTTTCCTAAGAATTTTAAAACTTTTCTTTGCTCTTTTGGGATATATTCAATGCATATCTTTGAGGTTCATTTTGTTTAAACCTTATAATAATTAAGTGCATAATATAAAAATTTAAACACTACACAAAATTAGTCGAATAAATTACAGTATTAAATAATTGTCAACGAAAAAGTGGCATCGTCATTTTCCGTAAACATTCTTTTTGAAAGAAACTTGAATTTCTCTGCTTCAGTTGCTGTTGCATTTGTCTTTAATATTTCCGTCCCCTGAGGTCTGTAATAAAAATATGTATTCGCATAAGAAAAGAAAACCTAAAATAAAATAACAATAAACTTTACAAAGATGTGATATTAAAATAAAGTCACAGGTTTAAATTTTCTTTATTTATGTTAATCAGTAATTAACCTTTACTAAAATAATTATTATGAGAGGGATGAAGATGAACTTAGTTGGGGTTTATTCTCTCTTAATTTTACTCTTTCGATAAGAAAGTTAGAAAGTTGAATTGCAAAAGAGATGAATGCCTAATGCACCGCCTCTGATAATTAGGGTGTGTTTGTACTTACTTATGATATAATCTTGAAGAAGCATTTTCAACAGGTCTTTTACACATAAACATAAAGCATGTTTTCACCATAATATTAAAGATATTAAATCTAAAATATACATTTATAACCCATACAACGCTATAAATAATTATATTTTTCGTAAAATACAAATCAAAAATTGACATGTGTCAAAAAGTGTCAGAATTTGCGCTGTCAAACTTGGCAACGCTGATTAAATAAGCCAATTACAGAAGAGGGATTCCCTCCCCTCGGGGAGTAGACGTTAATTACAAAATTTAGCGCGGGGAAGGATAGAAGACTCTCAGTAGTAGTAATTCCTCGGAGCTTTCTATGTTATCAAACAATTGACGGAGCGGGTAACTTAAAAACCTAAATAAACCTAATAATACTAATAATAATAATAATAATAATAATAATAAATAATAATAATAATAATAATAATAATAATAATAATAATAATAATAATAATAATAATTAATAATAATAATAATAATAATAATAATAATAATAATAATAATAATAATAATAATAATAATAATAATAATAATAATAATAATAATAATAATAATAATAATAATAATAATAATAATAATAATAATAATAATAATAATAATAATAATAATAATAATAATAATAATAATAATAATAATAATAATAATAATAATAATAATAATAATAATAATAATAATAATAATAATAATAATAATAATAATAATAATAATAATAATAATAATAATAATAATAATAATAATAATAATAATAATAATAATAATAATAATAATAATAATAATAATAATAATAATAATAATAATATTAATAATAATAATAATAATAATAATAATAATAATAATAATAATAATAATAATAATAATAATAATAATAATAATAATAATAATAATAATAATAATAATAATAATAATAATAATAATAATAATAATAATAATAATAATAATAATAATAATAATAATAATAATAATAATAATAATAATAATAATAATAATAATAATAATAATAATAATAATAATAATAATAATAATAATAATAATAATAATAATAATAATAATAATAAATAATAATAATAATAATAATAATAATAATAATAATAATAATAATAATAATAATAATAATAATAATAATAATAATAATAATAATAATAATAATAATAATAATAATAATAATAATAATAATAATAATAATAATAATAATAATAATATATATAAGGGGGTGGGTTGGCTCAGTGGTTAGAGTCATGACTTTGAGATCGGAAGGTCTCAGGTTCGAATCCCACCGTTGGCCGGGATTTTTTCATTTAATTTAATTATTTAAAATTAATTCTGATGCCTTGGTAGGATTCCCCACTCAACCATTCACTGTTGGGTTCTAATTAACAGTGCTGTTCCTAAAGTGGCGCTGGGAAACAGTAACAAAGCCTACACAGAACACGAGGCTAATGGCCGTAGTAGTCGACGCCGATGACACCAAATAAAAAAAAAAAATAATAATAATAATAATAATAATAAGGGTCCCAGGTTCGAATCCCACCGTTGGCCGGGATTTTTTTATTTAATTTATTTATTTAAAATTAATTCTGATGCCTTGATAGGATTCCCCACTCGAACATTCACTGTTGGGTTCTAATTAGCAGTGCTGTTCCTAAAGTGGCGCTGGGAAACAGTAACGAAGCCTACACAGAACACGAGGTGAAATAACCTTAGTAGTTAAAGCCGATGACACACAAAAAAATACTCTCCCTAATTCACCCCTTACGAGTGAATTTTGACCCCAAAAGCTGAGCTTTTCCGGGGAAATGAACGGCTATTATTATTTACCGTAAGGCTCCAGGGCGACTTTAAGATGATTGATGGTGCTATTTGATTTACAGGTAAGGAAAACCCCATCCACCATCATCGAAAATGGTAACGAATTGCGATTTTTATTAATCTGAATGTCATATCAACAT